ACTGAGGCTGCATCTCTAAATACATTTATTATGGAGCAATATGTACAAATACAGTGAGACTTCCCTTTCAAAACATGCATCGGATTTCTCTATAACCGCCAGTTAATTTTGACAGAACAGGCCCATGCATGGTTATCCAGATAGCAGTCTCACTGCACTCAATTAAGCTTATTACTAGTTGGCAGCCTTAGGGCCCTATCCTATACCCAATTATCTGAGCGTAATCTCACAGTTTCAAAATGTTGGTATTTTCTGTATAACTATCCAACTGCAGATCTGACATTCATCCAGCCTAATGTTTGTTCTTTAGCTTCTAATGAATCTTGATTTCTAGCAACTCTCCTTACACTGAAATGAAATTTGCTTATCACTTTCATCAGCAACATCATACATATGTATAACTTTTTGTAACTTTATCTGTGTCATTCCGGCCTGTATTCTATATCTTCTTTAACCTATAGATTGCCACCACCTCTAGAACGACGTGCCCTTCTTTGTCCTTTGTTTACAGTTTGTATTAATATCAGAAGGCTTTCTCCTTTCCACCAGTTTCTCCTTTCCACCAGCTTAAATCTAGGCATTCCAGTTTCCCTTGTGATTTACCGCTCCCAACAACACCTGTGCCAAAATGTACTACAAAGGTTGAGCGCTCGCTGGCACTACCCACACAAAGTACATTTTCTGTCTTCACACCAGGCTGGCAAACAACGCTGTGTCCTGCACCTGACAAATCAATTTCTGGGTTTCAAGTGATCAAAGTGCCACAAATATAAACCCGACAGACACGTCGTTCTGTTGTAGAGTGTGCAAAACAAACTATAGCGATCTGTCAGTACTTTTTCGCACCCATGTGATTGTTGGATTTTTCATTTTTGTTTCACCCGAAACCATGTCAACCATTAGATGCTTAACAAAAACCATGATCTGATGGGATAGTTTTATATCCAAAAATCTGGTGCCAACAATCTGCCCCAGAGGGTTTTTCATCCCTCTAGAACAAGTTTTAGGTCACATGAGGGACTGCCAATTGCGGCAGAAGCTTCAGGCTTCTATTGAAACACGTAATTGGAACCTGGGCAAAAAAAGTGGAAACCCTTAGTTCCTCCGGCCAAATGATACAGAATAGAAGCCGACCTACTTTCAATATGTAATTATATAAAAAGTGGAACCTTTAATGTTCACTGTAAATATTAATCTTCATCTGCTTTGGCCCTTAAAAGTTCTAGACAGCTTCAAGGTCCAACTGGTCTTACAACATTCTGTAGCAGAACACCTGTTTTGAAGCTAGATAACAAACCTGTTCCATTTGTTCTGAAAGATATAATCCTCATCTCAAATCAAGCATATATTTAAAAACCCTGCAGCCCATTTAGTTGAACAGAAGAAGTATGCGTTCTGTTGAAGCTTCGTATCCATAGATTCAGCATTCATGAATTCAACGTACCAGGCTGTGGCGTAGCTAGTTAGTAGCCAGGTGCATTAAAACACTACTGACAGAAAGGTCATGATTTCAAAGCCAGCCCGGGTCGGAGTAAGCTCCCGACCATTAATAGTCTAGCTTACTGTTGACCTATGCAGCCCAAAAGAAAATTGCACCTGTCAAGTATTATTATTATTATTATTATTATTATTATTATTATTATAACTTTATTTGTACCCCGCTAGCATCTCCCAAGGGATTCGATGCGGCTTACAACAGGCCGAAGCCCACACAATATAACAATACAGTACCTAGCAAATAAAACAGTTAAGCAAGAACAATAACAATAGTAGTACAACAAGACATTATTAAAAACTGAGCCGGCCAGTTTTACTACCTAAAGTAGTAAATTTAGGTACCGTTGTATGCAGGGAGGCTAAGTTAACTAAGTTACGATGCCATAAAACCTTCCAGCAGCATGCAGGAGAATGAGGAAGTACTCCATCAAAGGACCCGGTGTCACAAGTGGATGGTGAAGCGACAGCTTCCCCCTGTGGCCGGAATCGAGCATACCCTCATGAAGCCAGAAAAGCTGGAATGTTAAATGGCCTCTGTGTCTGTCTATATATGTTGTATGTCAAAATGGCATTGAATGTTTGTCATGTATGTGTGCATTGTAATCCGCCCTGAGTCCCCTGTGGGGTGAGAAGGGCGGAATAAAAATACTGTAAATAAATCAATAAATAAATATCCACAGCGTGAAAATATTCAAAGAAAATAAGGGGAAAAAATCCTTGTTTTTGCCATTGTATATAAGGAACACCATTTACTACATCATTGAATGTGATGGAACACACATTCATAGATCTTGGGGTCCTGGAACCAAACTCTGTGGATACCAATGGTCCCACTGTAATCCAAACTAAATTAATTTTAACAATTTAAAGAGTTACAGCGACACAAATGCATAAGATGGAATGGAATGTAACTGCAACGCTGTGAAGGTCTCTCAATTCAAAATAATAGAAAGAACCCTTCAAAATGGCCATGTTAAAAACAATCTAGGGGCTATCTTTGTGTAACTGCTGATTTCATCTGCTTTGTGTGTACAAAACGGATTAAATCACTCTAATTTCCACCTCATTTCCTTGTGACTGAAAGTTTTGTGCTTCTGGAAAAATAGCTCCTCCTTTCTCTAAGGTTTTTTTCTCTCTCCCTCGAGAGAACATCCTTTGCAGAAACTCTTAATTGGTTCCATCTGTACAGTTCAGCCTCTTTCCAGTATCTTATTAACTCCTTCCCTTCCAACTTAGGTTTCTAATATTGTTACCAGATGTATTGTCAGTTTTATTAATACTATAGTATGAGGGCAGTATGAGGTGCAGCAGGTTAAATGGCTGAGCTGCTGAACTTGCTGACTGAAAGGTTGGTGGTTCAAATCCAGGGAGCAGGGTGAGCTCCTCCTGTTAGGCCCAGCTTCTGCCAGTTTGAAAACATGCAAATGTGAGTAGATCAATACCTTCTACTCACTTCTACTTGCCTTCTGTGGGAAGATAACAGCGCTCCATGCAGTCATGGCCACATGACCTAGGAGGCGTCTACAGACAATGCTGGCTCTTCGGCTTAGAAATGGAGATAAGCACCACCCCCCCCCCCCCCCGAGTCGGACACAACTTGAGTTAATGTCAGGGGAAAACCTTTACCCTTTTATGGGGGCAAAATGATTGCCCACACAGAAAATGCAGAAAGCTGGACAACATGAGCTATTTAGGCTTAGGCTCAGTGTCAACAAAGGCTGTACTATTCAGAGAGAGAGAGAGCAGCTGCAACCCAGCTCCCCAGAACCAATGCGGGTGCAGCTGTTTGGGAGTCAGCTGTATTAAAATTACTACTGACTGAGAGGTCATGAGTTCGAAGCCAGCCTTAGCTGGAGTGAGTTTCTGGCCATTTGTCTAGCTTGCTGTTGACCTTTGCAGCCTGAAAGACAGTTGCATCTGTCAAGTAGGAAATCTAGGTACAGCTTATGCGGGGAGGCTAATTTAACTAATTTACGATGCCATAAAACTCTCCAGCAGCTTGCAAAAATGTGGAAGTACTCCCTTGGTGTCACAAGTGGATGGTGAAGCGACAGCTCCTCCGGTGGCCAGAATTCAAAAAGCATACACTCATGAAGCTGGAAAGTTAAATAGCCTGTGTCTCTGTCTATATATGTAGCGTGTCTATGGCACTGAATGTTTGCCATGAATGTGTGCATTGTGATCCGCCCTGAGTCCCCTGTGGGGTGAGAAGGGCAGAATATAAATACTGTAAATAAATAATAAATAATACATGCACATCTGCACTATAGAATTGATGCAGTTTGACACCACTTTTAACTGCCAGGGTTCAATGCAATGGATCCTGGGATTTGTAGTCTGGTGAGGCACCAACGCTCTTTGGCGGAGAAGGCGAAAGACCTTGTGAAACTACAATTCCAGGATGATAAAGCACTGAATCATAGCAGTTAAAGTGGTATCAAACTGTATTAACTCTATAGTGTAGATCAGGCATGGGCAAACTTGGGCCCTCCCTCCAGGTGTTTTGGACTTCAATTCCCACAATTCCTAACAGCCTCAGATCCTTTTCCCTTAAGCAGAAAGGGCCTGAAGCTGTTAGGAATTGTAGGAGTTGAAGTCCAAAACACCTGGAGGGAGGGTCCAAGTTTGCCCATGCCTGGTGTAGTTTATCCCTGGAAGACAAAAAGTGGGGTTTGCAATCCTGTGACCACAACACCCCAGATCAAATTGTGATTCAATATTAAATTTGTAGTTCTGATTAAAGATATATACATCTTAGAATCATAGAGTTGGAAGAGACCTCATGGGCCATCCAGTCCAACCCCCTGCCAAGCAGGAAAATTACATTCAAAGCACCCCTGACAGATGGCCATCTAGCTTCTGTTTAAAAGCTTCCAAAGGAGCCTCCACCACACTCTGGGGCAGAGAGTTCCACTACTGAACGGCTCTCACAGTCAAGTTCTTTCTCATGTTCAGATGGAATCTCCTTTCTTGTAGTTTGAAGCCATTGTTTTGCGTCCTAGTCAGGGCAGCAGAAAACAAGTTTGCTCCCTTCTCTCTATGCCTTCCCGTCATATATTTACACATGGCCATCATGTCTCCTCTCAGTCTTCTCTTCAGGCTAAACATGCCCAGCTCTTTAAGCCGCTCCTCATAGGGCTTGTTCTCCTGGACTTTGATCAGTTTAGTCGCCCTCTGGACACATTCCAGCTTGTCAATACCTCCCTTCAATTGTGGTGCCCAGAATTGGACCCAGTATTCCAGGTGTGAAGAACAAAGAACAAAACGGATTAAATCTAAAATATTTTTAAAATACAGTATTTAAACCAATACTCTTGAGCAAATAACAACTGTGGGGGATGTCACATCTTTAAAGGATTGATCTATTTGAGGAGAAGTCCCGCATTTCGGTATTCCTGCGAGGAAGGGCGGCGGAATTTGAAGAGTCGGTTTTGCACACGGCCCCACCACTTGCATTGCATCATGGGATCCGTAGTTCCCCCACAGCGGCCATTCCACAAGGACGCGTTTCTAAATCTCTTTCTTGGCCCTTCCGCCGCCCCGTAGCAGGAGCAGCTTCCCTAGCTATGGCGCTGCGTTTGTTGCTCCGAACCCTGCGCGCCTCCTGCCTCGCCGCTCCGCCTATTGGTCGGCAGATCCCCCTTTGCTCGCCAGCGCCCCTGGCGGCCGGGCGAGGAACGGCCAGCTGTAGGGCGTTCCGAGAACGCTGCCTTCTATTGGCGGAACCTCAGAGGCCGGCGATGGAGGGCGAAGCGGGAGAGGAGGAGCCGCCTGTCCTGCCTGCGACCAGCGGGCAGACCGGTGAGGAGAGAGAGGAGAACGCGGACAGCCCCCTTATTCGTCCTCCAAAGAAAGGGCGGTGGAGGGAGAGGAAGAAAGGACCTTGAAACCTAGATCTGGCTCAGTGTTTCCCAAAGCCTGGCCTTCCTTGTGTTTTGGACTTCAATTCCCAGAGTCCCTGCTCGTTGACTCCTACAGCTGAGGATTCTGGGAGTTGAAGTCCAAAACAACCCAAAGGACTAGCCTTTGGGAATTGCTGTGGAATTGATGCAGTTTGACACCCCTTTCACTGGCTTGGTTTGAGGCTATGGAATCCTGTCAGTTGCAGTTTTACACGCCTTTTCTGCCAAACAGTAAAACTACAATAAAACAAGGGCCCGGTCCTGTTCAACATCTTTATTAATGACTTAGATGAAGGCTTGGAACAGGGATCATCAAACTTCGTAAATAGAGGGCCAGGTCGCAGTCCCTCAAACTGTTGGAGGGCCAGATTATAATTTGAAAAAAACATGAATGGATTCCTATGCACACTGCACATATCTTGTTTGTAGTGCAAAAAAAAACTTTAAAACAATACAATAATTAAAATAAAGAACAATTTTAACAAATATAAACTTATTAGTATTTCAGTGGGAAGTGTGGGCCTGCTTTTGGCTGATGAGATGCCATTGTTGTGTGATTTCAGGTTGTTTCAGACTTAGGGTAAATGCCCTTGGAGGGCCATATCCGGCCCCCAGGCCTTAGTATGAGGACCCCTGGTTTAGAAGGCATGATCATCAAGTTTGCAGACGACACCAAATTGGGAGGGATAGCCAATACTCCAGAAGACAGTAGAATACAAAACGATTTTAACAGATTAGAAAGATGAGCCAAAGCTAATAAAATAAAGTTCAACAGTGACAAATGCAAGATACTCCACTTAGGCAGAAAAAATGAAATGCAAAGATACAGAATGGGGGATGCCTGGCTCGAGATCAGTACATGTGAAAAAGATCTTGGAGCCCTCATGGACAACAAGTTAAACATAAGCCAACAATGGGATTTTGGCCTGCATAAATAGGAGTATAGTGTCTAGATCCAGGGAAGTCACGCTACTCCTCTGTTCTGTCTTGGTTACACCACACTTGGAATATTGTGTCCAGTTCTGGGCACCACAATTCAAGAGAGATATTGACAAGCTGGAATGTGTCCAGAGGAGGGCATCTAAAATGATTAAGGGTCTGGAGAACAAGCCCTATGAGGAGCGGCTTAAAGAGCTGGGTTTCCCTTGTCCCCCCACTCTTCTAGTAAATGTTGAATAAAAAAAATCAGGGAACACTCACTCTTGCTTTCTCCATGGCCACATTTGTTGATGTCTGCATGAAGACATCTGCAATGGCTAGGAGCACTCCAGATATCTGACAGCAGTAATGGGGGATGGTTAGGTGACAGTCCAGCATTTCTGCTTTGGATTGGTCCTGCAATTAAGCAATCGGTATAGATGAGCCCATGGTTAGAACCAAACTATGTGCTTTGCATGCCTGACAGCTGACAGCTGGATTACTCCAGACTAGATTATGGAGGCAATCTGTACTTTGAATGGTCAATAGTATACATGATAGCTATGTATAAATGTGTGAGAGGAAGTCATTGGGAGGAGGGAGCAAGCTTGTTTTCTGCTGCCCTGGAGACTAGGACGCGGAACAATGGCTTCAAACTACAAGAGAGGAGATCCATCTGAAAATTAGGAAGAACTTTTTGACTGTGAGAGCCATTCAGCAGTGGAACTCTCTGCCCCAGAGTGTGATGGAGGCTTCTTCTTTGGAAGCTTTTAAGCAGAGGCTGGATGGCCATCTGTCGGGAGTGCCTTGAATTTGATTTTCCTGCTTCTTGGCAGGAGGTTGGACTGGATGGCCCTTGAGGTCTCTTCCAACTCAATGATTCTATGATTTCTATGATTCTAATACTAATAATAATAATACAATATTATAATTATATATTTTATATTACATGTAACATTACTAATAATATTACAATATAATGGTGTAGTACAGTATAGTAATATATAATACTGATATTGTATTATGCTAATAATATATTGTATATATATCTTGTAAGCCACTCTGAGTCCCCTTTGGGGTGAGAAGGGCGGTATATAAATGTCATAAATAAATAAATAAATAAATAAATACAATTGGTAAGATTGCCTAGCATTGAGCCATGGCAGTGAAAGTGGTGTCAATCTGCACTATTTCTACAATATGGATGCACCCCTCTTTCCTCTAGAGCAGTGGTTCTCAACCTGGGGTTCCCAGGTGTTTTTGGCCTACTACTCCTAGAATTCCGAGCCAGTTTACCAGCTGTTAGGATTTCTGGGAGTAGAAGGGCAAAACATCTGGGGACCAACCGGTTGAGAACCAGTGCTCTAGAGAAGAATAATAGGCAACCTATACACATGATATGAAGGTCATTTTATACATATTTCAAATGTGACAAATAATTTGTCACATGAAAAGTGTGTGTACATAGAAGCTTAGAAAGCAAAGATGCCAATGTGTTGTCGAAAGTTTTCATGGCTAGAATCACTGGGTTGCTGTGAGTTTTCCAGGCTGTATGGCATTCTCTCCTGAAGTTTCACCCACATCTATGGCAGGCTTCCTCAGAGATTGTGGGGTCAGTTGGAAACTAGGCAAGGAAGGTTTATATATCTGTGGAAGGTCCAGGGTGGTAGAAAGAACTCTTGCCTGCTTAAGGCAAGTGTGTATTGGCCAACTTGATCAGCCTCACAACCTCTGAGGATCCCTGCCATAGATGCAGTCAAAACATCAGGAGAGAATGCTTCTGGAACATGGCCATACAGCCCGAAAGACTTACAGCAACTCAGTGATTCCAGCCATGAAAGCCTTCAACACTACATTGAATAGACTTGCAGCTTCAAAGCCTGCCTCGAACAGACAGGAGTTCTTTCTCCCACCCTGGACATTCCACAGATATATAAATCTCACTTGCATAGTTTCCAACAGGCCTCACAACCTCTGAGGATGCCTGCCATAGATGTGGGTGAAATGTCAGTAGAAATGCTTTTGGAACATGGCCATACAGCCCGGAAAACTCACAGCAACCCAAAGATGTCGCTCTCTCAGCCACCCATCTAGGCAATTGTAGAGTATTTTGGAATTATGGGCAAGGGATACTCAACATGTATGAGTTTCTCTTCCTTCCCATTGCTGGTAAACAAGTTGGTGCATGTCGCATCCATGTAAAATCAGCTTTAGTATGTGCAGTCATTAGACCGATGCCATGGAAAACTGATGGTGCTCCTCCATTGTGGAATAAGTGCAGTTTTACAGCACTTTAACTGCCATGGCTCAATTCTGTGGAATTTGTGGTTGTTGGAGTTTTACAAGGCCGTTAGCTTTCCCTGCCAAAGAGTGCTACAGCGTAGATGCACTCATATGTACAAATCGCCTCTGGGACTAAATGACCTAAACAAATCTTGGATCGGTTATGCCCCTTATGGAGAATGTGAATCAAGCAATAACGGAGTACATCTATACCTACAGTTGTGTCAAAGAGAAGCACTTCTCAGAGATTTGTTCCTTATAGTACAAGATCTATTATATACAGCAGTCTTTACCCAAAGGTTTTTAATGTCCAGTATTCCTTTATTTATCTCCCACCTTTATCTGAATACTGACTCCAATATAAATTTACAACATAAAGCCCAAGGAAGCTCATAACATGATTTAAAGAGAGAGACAACTGAAAATGTTATAATATTAAACATGAGCATTAAAAATATTGAAGCAACTGCATTTTCAAAATAAAAGGTGTGCCGGCGAACGAGAAGTGTAGTACTCCTATTAAAAGTTTAACATTCAGCAGATAGTTAATTGCCAAAAGCTTGCCTTTGCTCTTGGAATGAAAGAGCGCCATCATGGGCATTGGATTAGGAATTTGGAGACTAGGGTTTAAATTCCTGTTCAGTCATGGAAACCCACTGGGTGACCTTGGACAAGCCACATACTTTTAGCTTCAGACAAATGCAATGCCAAATCTCCTCTGAACAAATCTTGACATATTTGTATATTTTAAGTTGTATTGCAATGCTTTAGTTATGAGCCACTTTGAGTCTCCGTATGCAGAGAAAAAGTGGGATATTAATAAACATTATAAAACATAATAATAATAGAATATATTTTCCCCCTCTGCCAGTTTGGTATTCTCTGGAAGGGAATTTCACAAACTCGGAGTAGCAGCAAAGATTTTAATTGTGGGACATACCAAGCAACCCCCCCCCCCCGCCCCTTTGTTTTCCCAAAGGCTAGAATTGATTTTGCTGACCTCCAGGCAGATAGTTTGACTGCCTCTATATGACTCTTCCAGTTACCATTATATGAGAAGTAGATGCCCAGGTATTTAAAGCTGTGACATTGTTCTGTTGGGTGGCCATCCAGTTGCCATTTATGTATCTGCTTCCTCTTGGAATAATACAAACCAGACATTTGTAATTGTTATCATTTATCATTTTAAAGAGCCAGTAAAGTTTTAATATTTATATTGGAAAGTGCTTATTGTACTTTTATGTCATGGCCTATGGCTAGCACAATAAACCATTCATTCGAACTCGGAGTATCATTAAGAAAACCCTATGGGTATCACAGGACTAAGGAAAAGACTTAAAGGTTTGACAGATGCATTTAGGGAGTTGCAGTCACCAGTTAACTTAAACTCAACTGTAAAGGGCATTGCAAGATATACCCACTCTTTTTTTATTGAGGCACGACTTCTGCTATCCAGCTATGGTCAAGACTTTGACTGCAGCATTTTGGACCTTGGAAAGAGTTTATAAAGGTAGCCCCATGTTGTTGGGTTAGATAAAAGAGCATGGGTTGTCATCCTTCCTCTCTAAATGCACCTGTCAGACTTTTAATGGAACTCAAAATGGCTTACATAGGATTGTTCATGACTCGACCATTCAAAAGCTGACCTGGTCAAGACCTCCTAGTTTTAAACAAAACAGGCTGAATTGATTTTAGATC